CTCCTGGGCCCAGTGTGGGGGGGGCCGGGGGGGGGGGGGGGGGGCTGCTGTGTTTTTTGTAATCCATCTGAAATGAAGTAGGCACGGCTAACACCATGTGCTTAGGCTTTGTCTATGTCTAAGAGGAGGGACTACAGTATAATTCTGGATAAGAATGTCACCAGCACACCAAAGTAAACGAAACAGCTATTCATTGACGCATATTGTCACATAATTAAGCGCTTTTGGGGCTGCGCACTATAATTCTGGCACATCAAAAGTTATTCTTCTGTAGTTGTAGCATGAAATAAAACATGGGTAGAAGTGTGTGTATTGATGCCTTGACATATGCTTTAAGGGGGAAAAAAAGAAAGTAGAATCTGCCCTTTAGGCCCAACCTGCAAATGTTCTTGCCATTCTATTTCTTATTGTTTGCCATTCTGCATCAAGTACTATACCTTAGTTTTCATGCTAAGGATGTATGCAAGGTCCAAACTGGCATTCTGGAAGTGTTGTTAAAGATGTGCCATTTATAAGATTTGTATTTCTTTAACTGTTTTGATGGACAAAAAAAAAGCTTGCCCTCCACAAAGGACTTCAACTTGGCATAGCAGACATGAACCTTTTGCTGATACCGACCTGTATGCCCTTCTGTACCTTGTTAATGAGAAGTACAAATACCCAGTGTTCTCAGTTTTAGAGTGTAGGTCCCTGGTGTCCTTGCAGCCCGTTGGAATAACTGTGTGGCCCTCTAACCCTAGCAGTCAGTTGTGAGAATAGCAGTGATCTCTTGCATCTTCTGTAGCAATGATGTAGCCTCTGACTGTATCTTATAGTAATTTCACAGTCTCTGATGACCTCCTGTAATAATTATATTTTATTTGGCCATCTCCTGCACTATGCTTGCAGTTTGTGACCATCTCCTGTAGTAATTTGGTAGTCTTTGACTATGTCCTTTAGCAATTCTGAAGTCTGTCATTGTCGTCTGTAGCAATTCTGCAGTTTTTGACTGTCCCTTGCAGTTCGTGTGCAGTCTCTGTAGAATTAATTATATTCAGAATATTATATATGACCAAATAACAAGCAAGGCTCCCCTAAATACGAAATCCCATAAGATGGAGCTGTCTATAATAGAAAAACAGGCAGTACAATGTATCAAAAATTTTATGAAAATAAAGAAATAGAAAACAACATAAAACAAAATCGCATCAAAAAAACACCAACTGACAAAGACATTTAAAATCAATAAAAGGAAAGTCCTCCTTAGTAATGTGACAGCTGGCCGGCTCTGAGCTTTGGGTGAGTATATCTTTGTTATTTTTGTCCCTAGACAGAAACAAACACTTAACCCTTGCAGTGCGGGGGTAGCCCCATAGCGAGGGTTAAGAATACATTTTCATGGAGTTCTTCTTTGTGAGTATTATCAGAATGCAACTTTTTTTAGCATTTAGCAGGAAACATTGCCTATTGGAATCATAAATTCCTTCCTCCATATGAAAATATATAAATCATATAACTCAGTGTTACTTAAAAACTGGTTTCAAACTTGTGCTTGGGTATTTAGGAAGCAAAGAAATAAAAACGTACTGTCTGTGTTTATTTGGAGTACTATACGGTGGAAACAAAGTAAAGACATAAGGATTTCAAAAGGATACATAAGAAAATAGTAAATCCAGTAAAATGCTGTGTAATGAAAGTGAACCTAAGACAATATTATTTTTCAAACTGTGCAAGTCAAGTCAGTTGTCATATAGCAGTTATTTTGCCCAGGTCCACAGTATGAGTGGAAATACAAGGTATCACTAGGTAGCTCTTCTTGGCACTAGAACCCCACCCCTGATAAAACTATCAATGTCAACTATCAATGATGGGTTTCTTTGAAGCTAGAACAGATAATGTCTACTGTTGAATGTGCAGGAGTGTTCTGCTGCTTCTATTTGGGAATTAAATGCTCATTTTTATTAATTTTTTTTTGCACATTAAACTGTGTTCATTATTTCCTGTAAGACAGCCAAACTTTAGATTTCGTATACATCCGCCTAAAGTTGAATGCCTTCAGTGGCAGTAAATAATTAGTGATGCCGGAACAGCAAGATAAGTAAATTGCTGGTTATTATTAGCAGTCTGATTTAAGACAGCTGACATGTCACTTGTACTCTTTGCTTTTTACGCAGTTATAGTCAATTATATTGAACCTTAAATCTGTAATTTTTACTGCAAATGTGATTTTACCATCAGTACCAAGAAAGAAAGCAAGTGTAACTTATTACACATGAATAGTTTCCTTTATGTGGTTTAATGAAATGCATACAAGCGATTGCAGACTGTACAGTTGCCACTTACTATATTTAGTGTAAGTCAATACAGAATCCAAAAGCCAATAATCCTACTGCTAACCACTATAAATGAAATAATAACCACAGTAGCATACAATTTCCAATACTCCAAAAATATTCCAACAGTTTAGCAAACAATAGTAACTCTTTTAAGGTTTTTTTTCCCAATGTTTAAGACATTATTTCTTGGGGTTATGTTATTTACAAGTCACTGGATAGTGTTTCAAATTTAAAGCAAAGTATTACACATTGTTCACCACAAAATCTGAAAATAGAGCATAGTTTCCGAGTTCCAATCTCCTTTACATTTAATTTATTTCAGAAAAGGAATGGTTTAGTAATAACTGATGATGTATGTCCTCAGATAAAAGTGTTGTCCAGCTCATTAAGGCTTGCACCCTTCTGATGTGGCTTTATTATATTTATATGTTTTTCCTTTGGCTCTGTCCAAGATGGCTAAATATATTTAACAGTTTTGGAAAGACTGATGTTTCTGGCACAATTTGAAGTGTTTTCTTTTCTTTCACCCCCACAAGGCTACAGGAACACTGAAGAAATTATACAGTATGGTGTGAGAAATAACACAACTTTCTTGGAGTGCAGTTCAAAATCTCCACAGGCCTCTGTCAAATGGCTGCTTCAGAAGGATAATGACCGAAGGAAAGAGGTGAGTTATAGCCCTGAAATATTATCCAACTCGTCAAAAATGGCTCACTAAGATCAATACATATATTAATCTTCCAGCAGGTTCCAACCAAGTAAAGTCCAAGTAAAAGATTATTGGTTATGTATAAGAATTCCCGGGGAGGGGCAGTTGTAGCCATTTTAGTGGTGCTAAATATGCATTACTTAATATGTGCAAGATATATTGACCACTTTTTGTCCGGAGCAATTCTTACATTTTTACCACATCTTAAAATCTAAATTTTTTTCTGCTAGAAAATTACTTAAAACTCCCAAACAATGATATCTTTTCTGAAAGCAGAAACCCTGTAGAATACAATGGTGGCAATTGTATTTTTTATGTCACACAATATTTGTGCAATTATTTATCTAAACTATAAAAAAATACACTTATAAAAGTTCCTATACTCGTTAGTGCCATGAGAACGGCATCTTCCTGGCTATAGACTGGGTGGAACTTTTATAAATGAACTTTAAAGTACACAAACACAATATCATACCCAATTTTTGGTAATAGATGGGGTTGCGTTGAGTAGATGCCAAATATTTCAAGCCTTAAAATTGCATGCGCCTGTGAAATGGTAAACAATTATGGTACCCATGTGTGTGGGAGGCAACAGGGTTTCTTTTACATTTTGGTTTATTTTTATATTTGTTATAATGCTAACAAGCCTCCTTTGTGATAGCATTGGGCAGGTGATAGGTTCTCTGTAAGGAGACATCAGTGGCCTTTTAGGCCCCTAATGTCTCCCCTGCCCTCCACTCCAGCTGATCAAGCACAGGACTTTTACAGGCCTGTAAAAGTGATCAGGCAGCTCTACTGCCACCTTGGTCATTTTTACTAGATAGTCTGGAGCCAACAAAAAAAAAACAATACCAAGGCTCATGGCCGTTGGTGCAGCCTCTTGCTAATTTTAAGCACTTGGATTTCATGAAATTTAAAAACATCATGTGGACATCAAGTGGTTTAATCTGAAGTTGAATCTTCTTATACTTTGTCTTTCCTGGTTCAACATGCTTATTAAATTTTGGGGGAAAAAACTCTTGCCTTTTTAATTGCATACCATGTTTCGGACTCAACAATATCATCTTTAGGTATCTCATGGGCAGATCATGACTGCTGGGAGGGGAAAATCGGTTGCTGTAAAAAGCTTCCTGAAAAAATCACAGAACCCTGCCTTAGCATTCCTCTCAGGAGCTCTAAGTCATGATGCAAGCAGTGGGCTGGCTCTTGGGAGGAGTTATGAAAATAAAAAACTGTCTTTATGAGTGGATGTCAGTCTGGAGGAGTAGCTCTTCTAGCTGCTGCCCACATGTTGCTGAGCCTCCAAATAAACTGTGTTTTTTTATAGCAAAACACGCATGAATTTAACATTTACCAACTGCATTGGGATGACCATTTAAAAAAAAGCAAACATATAACACTATTTTATCGCATTCGGATTTTATTTTTATTATTTGCACTGAGACTTCAATTGGGCTTTAAATTGCCTTTATTATTGATTTCCCATAGAAATTGTTTTTTTGGTGATTATCACAATTTAGTGCTGTTAACCTTACTGTATGACCCAAATCAGCAGCTGCACTTTCCTTCTAGACAATGTCAGCATCATTGTCTGGAAATTAGTCTTCTGATTGCCAAGAAACAAATGTTACTGGCTTATTTTACAGGGGAAAATACGTCCAAGTATTTTGCGATCTTCTGAGTGAACGTTAAGACTGAGAATTATTTAGGACCAGATGGAATACGTGATGAAAGTGAACATGTCAGTCCTTTCTACCATACAATAGGGTTTTTGTACCGAAGGGTCGCAAATATAAAATCTTTCAATTCATAAAGTTTAAAGTCAGGATCTTTACACTTATGTCAGCAATCGTATTCTGCTTTGCACTCTTTTCCATGATCGCATAAGTTGTATAAATTTGAAATTGAAACCATTGTATTTCATATTTATAGAAAAAATAACCAAGTTACCAATTACCATTTTCTTCCAAAAGTTTCTATAACATCTCAAATACAATCTAATTTCCCTGAAAGCACCCAAAAGCATACTGCATCCGACTTGCTTCCGAGTGTGATATAGGGCAGTTCCTGATTTATGTATGTTTTTCCAAGCAACCTAAAGCGTTCTTCTTTTGATGTACAGTATATAGAGCATGGAATAGAGAAGCTATGAGAAAGAATAACAGTTTTACTTTTAGACTACATATAGACCACTCCCACATTTTGCATGTGGTATGTTGTTACACTATGGGGTCTATTCACAAAGCTGCCGAGGGCAGCCGAGTGAATGACCGTACTAACCTTCATACACAGCACTTTAACAGTGCGGCTGATTAAATCATAGTTTAATCAGCCACAACTGGTCACCTATCCACAGAAAGGATGTCCTTAAACTGGTCCAAAGAGGGGCAGCGAACTATAACAAATAAGGGGCTAAGGGGATTCCTTTTCTGTTAGAGTGGTTAAGTTGTGGTACTCTCTTTCACAAGCAGAAGTATCAGCAGAAAGTATTAAATAATTCAAGAACTATTTAGATACTTTCCTCAGAGAAGAAAACACACAGGGGTACGGGTACTCTTAAAGGAGAACTATGGGGTCAGTGTTTTTCCCCATAGTTCTCCTTAGGGTAACGGGAGAACACAAACTAGCGTCCTCCCGTTACCCTAAGCTCAGTATACCGCGAGCTACAGCTCGCGGTATACTGAGACGCCACAGCCGGAGCAGATCTCGACATCGATGTCGAGATCCGCCCAGCTGCGTGAGTGACAGCTGGCTCTGCCTATCTAGAGGCAGAGCCAGCTGTACCCGCCCCCTGCCCCGTCCGTTCCGCCAGTCAGCCCTGGCGTATCGGAGCGGGGAGGGGGAATCCAGCCCCTCCCCTGTCATGGCAGAGAGCCGTGACAGGATCGAGAGGTGAGCGAATGCCGGTATCTGTTCGCTCACCTCCCGATCTACTGAGCCGACTTGTGACAGTCTCATTGTCACAGGTCGGCTAGAACTATGAGGTGAGTGGAAATCACTCATCTCATAGTTCTCATTTAATGACTAGTAAACACAGATACACACACACACACACAAACACACTCACATAGGTTGAACTCGTTGGACCTGCGTCTTTATTCAAACTCAAATATTATGTAACTATGTTACTCTCTTCCTCCAGGCACACAGCAATCCTTTCATACTGGCACTACATCATCATAAAAGAGATACCTTATCTGGACTTTACTAAATCAAACAGATCCCTTTCCTTATTCATTTAATCATCTGCGATCCCTGGTACTCTGCAGTGAATAATCTGACCTGCAAAGATAACTACATGTTCATAATCATTGCATCATGTGTAAAAGCAGTAACCAGTTTACAAGAAAAAAACTACTGATATAGTTTTAAAGCCAAAAAGGAGCTTCTTGAATCACAACCCCCTAAATGTTCTCATTCGGTCCCACAAATTCCATATGGAATCAACCCAGCCTATTATAACCATCAAGTATAAGTACTTGCATATCACCATTTTTTTAAAGCACATCAGTAATTATTTCACTTTGCTGTGGGTCCTAAGCCCTTCCAGTTCATGGCGTGCCATTTGATCTATCTTCTGCCTCCTGTGCTTGCCTTGTTGCACTCCCAAAGCATCCCTATTGTGGGGTATCTAGACAACCTCCTTTTGAGGGAACAGTTGGCACAGGCCCTGACCAACAATGTGGCAAACACTGGGCAATTGGCAAACAGTCTCTCTCAATAGGTCTCTCAGCAGAATAGCTACTGTTGCATGAGGGAGGCATACCCTGCTTGGTTCAAGGAAATAAATACTTCATGGGATGAATCCTGACCTTTTTACAGCCAGGCTTGGATCAGCATTTGACCTTGAATACTATCAAAGGTCAGATCTCAGCACTTGTGATCTTATTCTAGAGATTACAAGCCTCTCATTCTTTGATTACGAACTTTGTGCAGGTTGTCTCTCATGTAGCTCCACCTGTGCCCCACCTTTGGCTCTGTGGGAATTTAATCTGATTCTCTTGGCTTTACAAAAAACACCATTTAAACCTATCAGGCATATCCCCTTTACACTTTCATTCATATGTTTTCATTCCTTGCCTCCATCACCTCTGCAAGGCATGTGTCTGAACTGGCATCTTTGTCCTGTAGAGAACATTTTCTGGTCTTACACATGGACCAGGTGGTATTTAGGCCTTCCCAAGGTGGTTTCAGCCTTTTACTTCAAGCAAGACATTGTGCTTCTATCCCTCTGTCTGGCCACACATAAGAAATAGATTTAGATTGTTTGGAAAGAGTTTCTGTTGTACATGTCTACCTCACAGACACTGCTTCCATTAGAAAGACTGACTCCCTCTTGTATTCCCTGCTGGTCCCCACAAAGGGGAATCAGTTTCTAATTCCACCATTTCTAGGTGGCTTGGACAAGTCATCATTCAAGCTTACATTCTTAATGATTGGGTTCTACTATTTCCTTGCAAGGCAAACTTTTCCAGATCAGAGAATGCTTCTTGGGTTTTTTAGCATCAGACAACTATTTTTCAGATTTGCAAGGCTGTCACTTGGTCTTCTGTTCACAGCTTCTCTAGGTTTTACCATGTTCAGACCTCATCTGATGCTAGCTTTGGCCGTGGGGTCTTTCAGACAGCCATTTGAGATGCAGATAATCCCCAAATAGTTTTTCTATCATTATAGTTGGGCCTGTCAATGTTTTGTTTGTTAAATTGCCCACCCCTCAGTTGGACTTTTTGGACATCCCAATTGTTTCTGAATTCTGTGTCTTTCAATAAATGAGAGAGAAAATCAGATTTTTGTACTCACTGTAAAATCCTTTTCATGGAAATTTGAGACACGGGTACCACCTGTCTGTTTCCCGTCTTGCTCTCGACATTGCTTCTTAGAAAACTGAGGTATGCTGGGAGTGAAAGGCGATACACCAGGCTGGTCACTGTTTTTTTTGTTTGATAGTGTACTAATCATCCTGTAGACAGCGGTATAGCCCAATTGTTTCTTTACCATGAGTACAGTATAGCCATCAAACAATATAGTGCCTGGTAGCTTAAAATATTGGGGATTTTTCAGAGATTTATATTTAAAACACACGCTTTATTTCATAAGCAAGGTATTTATGGTAAAACAATATTATAAGAAATCAAACATATTAGCTAACAGAAACTAGTTTTACCCTATACCTAAACATTAAATACAAACATAAATTTTGATTTAAATCAGTTAAATATATTCCAGGTACAACAAAACAAAAAAGTGTGCAAAGCCTTACAGTTTGTTTTCTTTAGAAAGCAGCCATAGCCTGTGTTAAAAATTCTGTCCCTGCCAACATACTGCAGAGAAGGACTTTGGCTCTTTGTGTAAAAGCAGTGGTCTTTCTGCAGAGGTCTGACGTGCTCCCTGCTGAGTCAGAGCTAGAGTCCTCCAATCAGCAAAGAGCAGGAGCAGGAGAACACAACTTCCAGAGAGCAAGGGTCCTTCTCTACAGCCTGCTGGCAGGGGACAGGGTTTCTGCTCAGGATGAGGCTGCTTTCTTAGGACAAGTAACTGTAGATTTTCCAGACTTTTTGTTTTGCTACAACTGGAATGTGTTTAAACTTTGTTCAAATGAAAGTTTGCATGGGCTTTAACTTTCTGTTAAACAAAGGTGCAATTGTAGTGTGTGTATGTTATAAACAGACTTTTTAAAATGTTGTTCTGGTGTCTTTCAATGGTTAAAGTAAAATCTGACTATTGTGCTTTAGTTCTGCAGCAAGTTATTGGAGAAATATATGCACTGTAAACACTGACTGCATTTATAAATAGTGTATGGCATGACAGTCTCATACCATGTGATTTACAATTGGAGCCCCAGTCATGCTTGTTCTGCTAAATACTGTTTAAAGTGGAGCTCACCAGACGAATAGGTAAGTATAACCCCTTCTGTGATTGAGGTCAAGGGCTACAGCATGGCTCATGGACTGTATAGGCGATTCCAAATCACTTGACTGGCTCATGTTATTTATTTTGTAAATGTATTTTCTTTATTAGGATAGTAGGATCTAAGTTCATTCTACAAGTACACTCATTTTTTTAATTGTGGTTTCTCTGTTAAGTGCAGATAACATAGTATTATGTTTTAAATTAGCTATATTTGGGAGTTTTGTAGAAACAAACTGAAAAGCCTTAATTATTTTCACAGGTTAAAATAAATGAAAGGATCATTTCAACCGGTCAAGGACTTCTTATCCGTTCGGTTCAGGACCCTGATCAAGGAACTTATCACTGTATAGCAACTGAAAATGGCTTTAAGCAAACAGTAGCCAAAATCACTTTGAAAATCTTAGAACCAGAACTTGTGAATTTTATGACTGACAAATCTCAGTGGATCTGGGCAAGTACTTTGAGTGGCCTACAATTTCATCCCAAGGATCTCACTGGATCATTCAGTCATTCGGAGATGCAGATGATTAACCAGTACTGCAAAGAAAACAGACAGAAAAAAAGTCAGGTGTCGGAAGTACCAAAACTTAAAGGGGATTATGGCAAATTAAAAGTCCTCCTGAACACCAGAAAAAGTAGAAATCGAAGAAATCAGTTACCTGGATCTTAAGCATTTTTATGATTACAGCCGTAGAATCTAAAATTTGTTACAAGTCACCTAGGCAAAAAGTATGAAAATTAAAAATGCAATGAAATATTTATATTCACTAGAGCAAAAGAACATTCAGTCCTAAGTGTTCCTCTTCGTTCTTACTGAGAGCCTAAACAATTTCATGTTCCTCCAATATTGACATACATGGTTGATGCCTACTTATTGCTTTGGTGTTTTCTATTATTGTTTGGGCTCACATAAACTAAAGTTATTTTTACACCTTATTTATTAGATTTTTTTATTAACAAGAAAATAAATTTAAGTTTTTGACAATTTGCTGTATGTAAAAAAAGATGGATGCCAATGAGTTTATGTTTATACTGTTGTCTTATCAAATGTTGCACAGAAATATTGCATTGCACTCCATAGCAATCAGTTATCTAATTTTATTAGTCTGACTACTTCTGGGAAATGCTTAAGTGAGGTTACTGTGGGCTGCAACACATCAATATTTCCATCATGTGATGAAAAGGCCCTTCAATGTAGATGAGACTCCATGGGGAACCATTTGCATAGCTCAAATACTGAAAGTTGAATGCAGATGGTAATAAAATAATCATTTGAAGCATTGCAAAGGAAAGCACCCAAATAATTTGCTTTAATAAATCCAGAAATGTATATTAAGATATCATATTATGTTCAAAGGTCAGTCTGCTAATCAATTGTAAGAACATATTGGAAGAGAGTAAAATTTACTGATGCAGTTTACTTTTCTGCAGACCAAATTTTCTTTCTTAAATCAGTGGCCTGCCATCTGATAAAATACTAGGAGAAGAAGCGTACTAAAGAGAGCAGAAAGTTGAAAGGGTTGGCAGGAATCAAGAGACCTCCTATATGTCCAGAATGTTGATACCAGGTAAAGTGAGTTGGGGTCTAGGTATTGATCGAAGGGGTTAAGCTAAGAACTTTACAAGCGTAGTGTAAAATCTACACCAAATACACCAATGTGGGAATAAACGTGACATATTTATTAAATGGATGGAAAAGAGATTGAAAGTGATAAAAACAATGAAAGTGAACAGTGATTATCTTTACTGTCTGAAAGGAAAAAATTGAAAAAATAAATGTTTCCTTTTTTTTTACTGTCTAAATTATATCAATTAAATGTTTCTATTCACTGGGCCTAGAACTCAATTAACCCTACTGTAATTATAATCCAAATGCATTGCTGTGAATAAGAAATTATTGTGATTTTTTTTGCAAAGATAAGATGATTTTTAATCTGAACAAGCTTTGGTAACACAAATGATGCCAGTTATTAATGTAAAAATAATAAAAACAGTTCTAGAATTCTTATTAATATTTAAAAGTAAAATTATTAATTCTAACGTTATAATTAAAACATAATAATAGACTTATTAGATTACAGGAGTGCTGACAGAGGAAAGTTTTCTTTAAAGCAAAAGTGTTTCCTTCACATTACTACAACATTCATCACTGTCTGAATGTAATGAAAGCTTTCCTTTGTGCAGTATTTCAATGCTAGACAATAATCCTGCTGTTCATTTCCATGAAACATAAGGAAAAGCTTTGCATTTAGCTTGCTGTGGCTGTGCCTGCTACACACACTTCCAATAAATGTTAATGTGCCAGTTGCTGATATCATTGCTGTCAGCTCAGCTGGTGGATATTTGGTATATGTTGTCAAGGCTATATGTGTACTTTTGTTGTCCCGCATTCCCCAGGACTCAGAATTTGATTTGATGTTGTATGCCCTCAGTTATATTTTCTTGATAAATGTAAAAATATTATGTGTAAAAAGGTTTTCTTGGCTTCAGTGTAGTCAAAACAAATACACATATTTATAATGATTGTGTGTTGTAGTAAATGGGATTTACAAATAACAGTATGCATTCACTTAAATGTCAGATTAAGGTTAGCCATACACAGCCCAAAGGCTGAATAAGAGAAAATCAATACATTTTCTCATTCATGCCAAAATGGTGTGCATGGAGGAATCGCCACTGCTTGCTTATGAATAGAGTGGTGCTGTTGAACAGTAACTTCATCTGATGGGATGCAGTTACTGTTCAGCCAATAGTTTTCCACCTGGCTCAGTTAATCTTTCAATCAACTTTTGTCCAGCTGGGTGGTGCTTGCAAAGCCACCCACTAAAATTTCAGCCTATTCGTAAGGAATCGGACAAAATTTGAGCCATCTAGTGCCAGCTTAAAAGTCTTAAAGTTACACAAAACGCAAACATTTTTTGCACTTTCTCTCCTTATAGTCCGCAACCTAATCCCGCTTCCCTTTCAATTTTAAAATGTCTCATGTGATCTTTTTTGCTTTTGAAAAAGTGCTGGGCGAGCTCCCGCTGCTCCCCCGTTCCTCTGTGATTTCCGGCATCTCTCTTTAAAAAATAATGCATGAGAGTCCTGTGAGAGTGCACTGCTCTCCCCCTTGAGGCACAAAAGGTTGATTTCTACAGTATCACCCCAAGGAATCAATCTCCCTCTTCAACAGAGTTGTTCTCCTATATTTGCTTCATCCTATACAATGCAATTAATTTACAGATTGTTTTCCTTTGCTATATTACAGTACACTATACTAGAAACTATATTGCATTATTACTAGAAAAAAACAGCAAATCTACCATGCATATGTTGTTACTGCCTGTAAGAATTTCGTGTCAGACCCATTTGCCTCAGTTGTTGTCCTCTGACATGAAGGCAGGGGAGTATCCCAAGAGCACTGTGGGAAAAGGATCATCGGGTGCATGTTTAAGGTTTATGCCTAACTAATAGGGTGCAAAGTTAAGCTGGACATACGCTGTTAGAATTTTGGCCAGTTCCTGTAAATTGGACTAAATTCTAACAGTGGGTGGACATCCAGTCTTCACAAACTTTGATTTGGGAAAATTGAAGGAGCCAGGCAGCAAAATAATGCTACCTGTTCAGGTATTCTGACAGTCATGGGAGCTGGCTGTCAGAATACAATAGCTGGTATGGGTGATTCCTGCACCCATGCTGTTTAGCATGGATGAGGGAACTGAGCACTTTTTTCTCATTCAGCCCTCAACACAGGTTGTGAATAAAGGTCTGCAATGGCGTCATATATACAGTATGGCTAATTTGATGGCATGTGTTACTGTTAGTGCCCTGCAAAAAAACATTTTACTTGTTCTGAAGTCTGGGCGTTAAAGCAAGCCATCTTGAACATTTGAAATTCTGCCCAAAGAGTGGGTATCTGCTATTATCTTTATTGGCTTGGAATCTTTTACGTGCACCTTTCATATATATTCACATTGTTACTTGGGGCTTGACTTTCTGTACTTACAGAATAAGCCCCATCCAACTTCCCTGTCACCTCCCACTCACCTCCCTGTCCAATGAGGCTGACTGTAGTACTCATTAAAGACATGTTTATTGGGTAGTAGGCAAGCATGTAGATGAAGCTTAGTCCATAATACAGAAAAGTCAAGGCCCTAGTAACAAAGGGAAACTAAATCAGGTAGGTACACAGAGACAGGTTTTCTGGCCTGTCTCTGTGTATACAAACACCTTGTAGTACTTTGTGCTTGTGCAGGACATTTACTTTTAATCATTAAAATAGTAGACATGTCATCTTTATTGTACATGTGCCATGCATATTTTCAGTAAGCTCAAATATTGTAAGCTAATGCTTAGGCAAAGGTTTTGGTTTGTCACGGACGGCTTCTCCAACATTATTTGAGAAACAAGAATATGTCTGTCAGCTAATAAATGTATTTCCTTAAAGGTTAAGTCCACTCAAAACTGATCTTCAACTTTCCATGAATGCAGGTAGGTTGAGCAGGTAGGTTGAGTCTTCAACTGGTTTCTTATATATCTCTTTATACCTCCCCTTTATAACCTTGTAGATGTCTTAGCTGTGCCCACTCCTTGCAGTCATTGCTAGGATTCTTGCCACTGTAATCTCCATTTATTCTTCTTTAGAGAGAAGAAGGCAGAAGGAGTGGGACTCCCTTGCTTGGGTTTGTATTAGTAGCTGCAGAGCCATGAAATCCAATAGGAGATATCACCAGTAAATATAAGAAGCCAGTGGGAGTTTTATTCTTCCGGCATCCATTAGAAAACCTTGATTATATTGGTTTTGTGTGGAGTCATTGTTTTAGATGTCTTTATTTTGTAATATAATTGTTAGAATGTATTTGTGCTATTTAATGTGTCAGTCCTAAACCTTTTGAGAAATGATGTATATAGATTGTTTTATATACCTTTTGAACATACCTGCCAAACAAACATAATAATCTGTCAATATGTTTATTTTTTCTACAGTCGGTACTTACTAGTTTTATTCTGTGTGATCTACAAAGTCTGTCTGCACTGTGCCCTCATATTGTATATAACTAGACAATAGAAAAGTATAGCAATTACCAGGATGAAACTGTTATTATGGTGAATATGAATGAGTTTACAATTCATGTAGCAAACTAAATAGGTATTTCATGCTATATACATTGCTTGTTTCAATACAATAAACTTTACATTTATGTATTTCTGGTCTATAGATTTCTTTTTCTGCAAAACATATACACAGGAAACAGTGCCTGGTGCCTATATTTTCCATCTCCAAGCAGGATACATTTGTTAACCACTTGCTGTATAGAGCAATTTCTTACTATTTGCATGCACATGATAAAATCTGAACTTTTGGGTAGAAAACAGCTTCAAACCCCCAAACAATGATAGAATAACAAAATGCTAGTTGCAATTTTTATGTTGCGCGGTATTTGCGCAAATGTTTATTAAACCAGTATTTTTAGGATCATATACACTAAAATGAAATTTATTGCACAGAAACAGAATATAATACCCAGTTTTTTGGTAACATATAAAAGATGGGGGTCACGCCGAGTAAACATGTCAAGCCTTAAAATTGTGTTCGCCTGTGAAGCCACAAAATAACTACAATACCAACAATTTCCCATAGGGGACACTTTAAAAGCTTTTACTGCTCATCAGTTTAGTGTTAAAGTAATTGATGGCCCTAGAATTATTGCTCTCACTCAGACGCTAGCGGCGACCCCTGATGTCACCTAGGGACCCAAAAGAAGCTGAGGAAGCAGATATCTGCTTCCCCAGCATCTTCTCCTGGCTCTATGAGCTGGAGAATGTAAACAGTGACACCAGTAGTGATGTAATACACATCACTTCCGGGTCCAGTGATCAGAGGGGAGATCAGCATCTAGAAGCCTGCTAATCTCTCTCCAATCGTTGTGGGGAGACCCGCCGTGCCAGTCCCGGCTCGGGGGCAGCGGAGTCCAGGGGACAGCAAAGCTGGCGGAGGGGGGTGGAGGGAGCACATTCCGCCAATCGGTACAAATGATCCGGCAACTGTATAGACACCGGATCACTTGTATTTTAACAGCCATTGCCAGTAGTGATGGGCCGAACACTCCCGAACGGCCGAAAAGTTTGAATACGAACTCGAACCTAATGCAAGTCAATGGGGGTCAAACTTTCGAAAATGATTGTCCCCTTTAAGAGGGCTTATATGCAAGTTATTGGCCATAAAAGTGTAAGGGGGTCCGGGTACTGCTCTGGGGGACAGTAATAAATTAAAAAAACAAACAAAAAATAAACGTTTTTAAAGGAACAGTTATTTTAACATCACTTAAGGGGTAATAAAAATGAAAAAATTCTTCAAATGTCCTGCCTGGGGGTCCCCTTAACCTGCCTGTGAAGTGGGGGATCTGTAGGATGTAAAGAACCTGCTGCAGCAAAACTGACATTTCTAAAAAAAAAAAAATGAATTTTTTTTTTTAACTCTTAAAGTGTGCAGTTCCCCTCCCCAAACAATACCAGACCCTTTAGGTCTGGTAGGAATGTTAGGAAGGACCTTATTTTTTTTTTAAAGTGTAGGGTTCCTCCTAAAAGTCCTACCAGACCCTTAAGGTTTTAGGAGGGACCCTGATGTAAAAAAAAAAAAAACAAGTGTGTGGGGTTCCCCCTTAAAGTCCCTACCAGGCCCTTAAGGTCTGGTAGGAATTTTAAGGAGGAACCCCACCCCCAAAAATGGGGGGGGGAACGTGGGGTCCCCCCTAAAATTCCATACTAGACTCTTGATCCGAGCATAGGCCTGGCAGGGGCGGAAAGGGGGGGACGAGCGAGTGCCCCCCCCTCCCTCCCACACCAGGCCACATGCCCTTGGCACTGGGAGGGTGTCCCCATGCCGATGGGGAGAGGGGCCTTGTCCCCACAACCCTGTTGTGGGGGTGCGGGCAAGGGGGCTTATTTTCATCGGGGTACCCCTTTACTCCATGGTGAATGAGTAAGGGGTACTTGTACCCCTACCCATTCACTAAAGGGTTAAATCAAATAGTCATTAAAAAGTCCAGACTTTTTATAAAATCCTTTAATTGAAAAAAACAAAAGACATGTTTTTGACAAGTCTTTTATTTTAACAAAAAAAAACGGATCCACCGACGTAATCCTAAGGTCAATCACGGCATCCAGTGTTGTCCACGACGACGACAAAATAAAAAATACAACAATAAAAAACAAATAGAAGTAATAAAAATACCCCGACCGCCGTCCCATCCGCTCCCCACCGACTCCCGCCGCATTATGGCATTTTGACAGATAACGGCCAAACATAAACAATTGGGCGGAGCTAGCGGTGACAGCTAGCTCCGCCCAATTGTGTAGTTTGCCGGCATCTGATAGGCGAGACATGATTGGCCAGAGTGATCATGACTTTGCCCAATCATGGCTCCAAATGAGTACTCTGCCCTGATTCGGCAAAGTCTTGCATCTGACCTGTGGCCAGGTGCAAGTCTTTAACCAATTAGAGCTTCAGAGGGCTCTTTGCAGTATGGGACGTTGCGCGGTCGAACAGACCGCAAACATCCCATAAAGTTTGGCGAACGCTCGAACAGCCGAAATTCGCTTCGAACTCGTGTTCCAATCAAACCGTCGGACCATCCCTAATTGCCAGCTGTTTAAAATGACACCAAGAAAACGGCTGCAGTAGCAGCAGCAGCTGTGTTCTTGTTATAACACTTCTGTGGCTGGCCGTATATGTAAGGCTACCCGCAGCAAGTAGTTAAAATGCTTTTGATACCCTTTTTTTCTTTCTTTCAGAAATAAAACTTGATGTTAATTGTAGGATTAGATAAACATAAAAATTGCTATCTCTGGCCGCTCCTCCTCTTCTAGCTGAAATATGTTGGGTCACCAAACTGGAGCAGGAGTTGTAAGAGGGACAGGCTCAACTGGTAAGGCAACACTAAAGCATGTACTAGACAAGGACACTCAGGAACATTCCTGCAGTTTTATTCAGCAAGGTAGCAAAGAAACACAGTTTCAATGCAGGAGGGCTTTGTACAGCAAGTACTTAGCATAAAACAAACAAAACATTTGCTTCTCCAAGCCACTAACTAAACACAAATCGGTTCCTGAATAACATGGTGTCCCCTATTGGGTCCCCCAAAACAAACAAGCACCTTTTTGTACCTTTTTAGTGTCCTGTCAGGAGAGATAAAGAAAAAGAGAGAGGGATAAAGAGAGAGAATCAATCAGCTCACTCATATAATAAAAGGCCTGTGGACAGCTGAGACTACTTAATGAGTTCTGGCTACCAGGTAAGATATGGACATTGGAATGGAGGCTTATTCCCACCTAAAGCTTTCAGACTCCATGGCTTTACAAAGCCTCTAGGCTCCAGGAGCCAGAACAGAAATTTTCTGAGATTTTGAGACTTTTCTGAGAGAACCAAAAATTAGTTTTTTCATATCAGACATAAACCATGAAACCCCTCACTACGTGTATGTGGGAAACCTATGTAATACATTTATACTGTCCACAATCCTACCAGCCAGTGCCTCACAGTATGCAGATAATAACTTCTAACGTTACTTACCTACATCCTTTTTCTGTCTCTACAAGGGAGAAACTATCAAAGCCAGAAGGTCAACATAAAGACAAGCAACAAACTTTTCCTGAAAGTCGTCAGCAATGACCGTCCGCATATTTCTTTAATTGGAGATTTACTATATCAGCAAGCAAGCCATACAAATCGGCTTGCTATGGCTGGCTTGGGGCGGCTGAACATGCTCAGCATATACGGCTGTACAAGCCTGAAGTGAATAGCCAAACAGCGTTCGGCTCACTTCACTTTGGGTCGGTTATTCACACGGCTGCCTTCAGCAGCTTTGGGAATAACCCTCATAATTTTTGGGTGAACATAGTTTGCGTATAGTTTGAGGCCTAGTTTGTTTGTTTACAATGCAATTCAAGATATATAATACTTGATTAGTGTCTAGTTAACTGTTATCTAGTTAAACATTGATTCATGCTTATTTAACCAGTTTGGACCTTGGATATTAAGTATCTAGCTGTGCTCACTTCAATTAACCAATCATGTGCACAGGAAATCATATCTATCATTTTTTTATTTAATTTTTTATTTTTTCCTTGTGCAAGATTGGATATTTGTAGTGGACATAGGTTAACTGGGCTAAGTTACCTGTTTATGCCTTACTTAATCAACCTCAAAACCTTTGCAACTGCTACATCTACAATTAATTTGATTTCAAAACTTGGCCTTTTACCAGGATTTTTAGATGTGGAATACAACTGTGCTCTGAAGGAAACAAGAAACCGGAGACGAGACAGACATCCAAACATAACAGTCACAGCAAAATAGGTTCCGGCAACACTGCCTATATTGATGTGCACCGTAAGGAAGTTTACAAGACAATAAACACCACTGAAAAAGCAAAGGGTAGGCGACAATGTCCAGCTCCTACTAAGATACCACTAACCATGTCTGAGCATCAGATCCACCCAAACTTTTGTTGGGAAAATATCCCTTTACCTCACCGTCTTTCATCTTTTTCTTCGAGTTCTGCATTCCAGTCATGTTTATTGTCCTGGAGGAAAGACAAACAAACCACAAGAGGATGTGCATTTGACAGTGAGATAATGACAGGCACTGTACGTTGCAGAGCGTGGAGTATTAGTTTTGGAAATCCTGTGCACTTGAACAACATCTACGTGCCATGAGCTAAAATGATGTCACCAACATGTGCAGTGGACACATTCATTTTAATGCTAATTTGTCACTTGCTGTGTATTCAAAAGGAACATGTAGTGCTTGGCTTCTTCTAGATCCACTAAATGGGGTGAGTAATAAAGTGAAAAAAATAATACATTAACTGGTGAAAAAGAAAACACATCTTTTAATTCACAAGCTTATTAACTAATTGTTATCAGCATAGTACAGTATTTCACCAATAAAAATGTACAAACAGTGCAGAGATGGCAACAATGGGAACAATGAGGACTCAGCCGGATCTCCTTGGCAGGCAGGGAGGCAGACTGGAATCTTTTATAAAACACGTGAATGTGTTACTGATAGCCACGGCCTATGTTTGCTGTGCAGAAATTCAGACCTGATCTGATAGCTACAGTACATAGAGTTGTCATATGTAATAATAATATTCAGTATTACCATCCCTTCTTTAGTTTTATATGTCTTTATGTATTATTTTCTACATTTACACACAGACCAAGCTGTTCAGCAAAAGTACCAGTGACAGAGGTTAGGACAAACAGTAAAGCCCATGACACACTGCATGCGAAGCCGTACAGAGCAAAGCAAAGCTGTCAGGCACGGAGGTTCACATGAAGTGTGAAAGATAAAAGACTGCATCTTCAGCCAATTGGCTTGAGTCAGAGGCGTAACTAGAACCTTCAGGGCCCCGATGCAAGAAACCATGAAGCCCCCCCCCCCAACCGCCACGGCACCTCATGGTTAACAGGAAGGCTGCCGAGGTCCCCAGCAAGCGTGGGACCTCAGGCAGCCGCTTGTTTAAAATTTTAGTGCCGGTGTTTTGTTGAGAACGCTGACCCAGTATCTGCGCTTATGTACAGACGGGATTACCGAGGAAACCGGCATTTATTTACAAAGTATTAATTTGTAATTGTTAATTGTGACCGTAATAATATGCCATCTATGGCAGTAAATGATGGGTGGCAGTGAATGATGGAATATTATTAACAGTCACAATTAACGATTGAAACTAAATACTTTGTAAATAAATCCGGTTCCCTCATTAATACTGGTCTGTGCGCGAGCGCATATGCTGAGGTCAGCAAATTCAAGTACGTCGGCGTTCTCGACAGACGTATGTGCGCTTAGTATCTGCGCATTTTCACGAGTATGAGTACTCGTGAAAATGCGCAGTATTGGCAGGGGTGTATCCCTACTTAAAAATATAATGCATTGCTGGGACTTGTAGTCCTACATAGTTTGAGCTACTCTGCATTGCTGTATAATAATCATACAGCAATGCAGAATACCAACAGCTATGTGGGACTACAAGTCCCAGCAATACATTATAATAGGTCAGCTATGCAGAATACCACCAACAATGCAAAAAAGTGAGCACTATATCACCAGCATCCCACACACATAAACACACACTTCCCCGCACCCCCCCTCCCCCTTCCCACTCCAGACTGACCTTCCTTCTCCAGCAGGGCCCTCTTCCTCATCTCCCAGGTCAGGGGGCGGGGCTAAGAGGGGAGGGTCCTCACACAGCAGAATGTGCTGCCCGGCAGTGCCAGCAGCACATTCTGCTGGTGACAGCCAGGGCTGGTGCTAGCCTATTTTGCGCCCTAGGCAAGACCAGCTACTTGCATCCCCCCAAGATAAAAACATAAAAATTACCAAGTTTGATTTTTAAAGACAGATTTGTAGAATACACTAAACAATAAAACACAGAACATGTACAACAATGCAGGATACCGCCAGCTGTAGGGAACTACAAATCACAGCAATGCAGAATAATAGTATATGAATATTCTACATACTTTGTGCTGTCGTTCTGTTCCCGGGGTGCCGGTTTGATGTCTCGGGCAGAGGGGCTAAATGTACAGCGGGGAAGCCGATTGTTATTTTACAAGTGATCTCGGCGATGTCACCAAGATCACTTGTAATCAGACTGCAGGGTGTTTGTCCTCCCCCCGCCGTCCCCCCGCACCTATCTCTCTCCATGCTGGCTCCGTCTCCCGCCTCTGTCCTCCCACCGCTGCCGCCGAGTATATGGGGGGCTGGTTGGAGGGGAGGGGGGCGCATTGAAAAACCTGGCCTTGGGGCAGCAGGGAGAACAAATCCGGTCCTGGGTGCAGAGGGTTTCAGGAGGGGTGCAGAAGGTCTCAGGCGGGTAGCGGAGGGTCTCAGGAGGGGTGCGGAATGTCCCGGGAGGGGTGCGGAGGGTCTCGGGAGGGGTGCGGAATGCCTCGGGAGGGATGCGGAGGGTCTCATGAGGGGTGCGGAAGGTCTTCGGAGGGGTGTGGAGGGTGTCAGGAGGGGCACAGAGGGTGTCAGGAGGGGCACAGAGGGTGTCAGGAGGGGTGCAGAGGGTGTCAGGATGGGCCCAGAGGGTGTCAGGAGGGGTGCAGAGGGTGTCAGGAGGGGTGCAGAGGGTCACTGTAATTGTTGAGTCTCATACAATCATATGAATTTCTAGTGATTGTATAAGACTGAGCAATAGTTTGCTTTAGATGACAATACAAGCAGAGAGAGAGAGGAGAGGGGGGGAAACAGAGAGGAAAGGGGGGGAGAGCGAACACTACACACTAAGCTATCTTACCTTCATAAACAGCGCTACAGCCAGCTCAGCCCTGGCCGGGACTCCAACACACGGCACGCCCCGCCTCCCAATGACAGGACGCTGCAGATGACTCATTGCTCTGAAGTCTCAGAGAGATCACTCTGCTCTCTCTGAGACTCTGGAGCTATGAGGCAGATAGCGGCCGCAAGCAACTGTGCCCGTCTGAGTGCGTGCGGACGGCAATGCATATCCCAGCGGAGTCTAGGGGAAGCCGGGCCAGCTGCGCCCTGGTGACAGCTTCTCCATCGAATAGAGCGGCACTCTCTGTGGGGGAGCCCTCTTCTTCCTCGCTGGGCTCCCCCCAAGTGGCTGAACGCCAGGGCCCAGTCGCAATTGCGACCGCTGCGACCCTGGTAGTTCCGCCAGTGGCTTATACGAGCGAGCTGATTGGCGGAAATCTTTCATCTCGGCACGCTCAGCTATGCGAGCTCTCGCAAGCTGGCGTGCCAGAGTGAAAATGACATGACACACTGCATGCCTTAGTTTGCCTTCTCTGGATTCCTTATTTTCTCTCCTCATCAACATGCTAATTGTATAATAAAATCTTTCTGCTTTTATTCAAACCTTATTTTAGACCTTATGTTAGATCATCACTAGGTCTCTGTGATTCTCTAGGCAATGCAGCCAGATTATAGCTGGTGGAAACAGCTTGTAGGCTGCTGTGCATAGCTTTCTGAAAACAGGAAGCTGTGGTAATGCACACATGTGATGCTGAGCCTCCATCATTGAAACAACTGAAACCAAATGAATGAAAGGGGTGGGCCAAGGACAGTAAGGCTAGGAGGAAACGACCTAAATGATGCTTGACGCCCTTCAGCCAGGAAATGAGAAGGGCTGTATCTGACTTGATGGAGCTTCTGATGCACACTGTGAAAAGCTCACAGTGTGCTTTTAAATCAGAGCAATTTAAGTACAAGAGAGGAGCCTGTACAATTTTGCAGGGCTGAAGGTAAACCTGGAATTCAGCTTCAAAAAAAGAAAAGTGGATCAGTTTAACATCTCTAAAGGATCTATTTAAAATGGAATTCAAATAATTTCTTTAAACAAGATATTATTTATTAAAGAGGAACAAAGTTTTTCACATTTTTGAAGTTTCAACAACAACAACAACAATAAAAACAACAAGTATAGAACATAACAGTGTGGCTTACAGTGCAAGAAGAATAAAAGACAGTGGCTTTCACACAAAATGCATGATAAGCTCTGTGTCGTTATAGTTATTATATTGGAATAAACGTGCATGGAGAAACTATACGATTGTATATAATGGTACTGATGCTTTTTTGTGGTGTCTGACATACACATGCATTTACCAATTGACTTCCCACAAAAGTAATTACGATAG